GAGGGAGGGAGGGAGGGAGGGAGGGAGGGGAGGGAGGGAGGGAGGGAGGGAAGGAAGGAAGGAAGGAAGGAAGGAAGGAAGGAAGGAAGGAAGGAAAGAAAAAGAAAAAAGCAGTAGAGCCCCTGCCTAGAATCCCCCAGAGAGGGGCTGGGGTGTGGCTCAGTGGTAGAGCCCCTGCCTAGACTCCCCCAGAGAGGGGCTAGGGGTGGGCATAAGTAGGATGTTTGCTCAGCATTTAGTCCCTGGGTTTGATCCCAGTGCTGCAGAGGGCTCCTCCTTTCTGTTTAATTTACAGTGGTGGCAGGGAACCAAGGAGAACCTGAGGACACACTAGTGACCAATTACTGATGACCGAGTTTGCTGACAAACATGGATTTTCTTTGTTTGGGGGAAGCATTATGTCTTATTTTATGAAGACATGGGTGGGGTGGCTAACAATGCTGATGGCCTTCCCTCAGCCATTTTTTAGTATTGCCAAAGCCACCCAGAACTAATTCTCCTCAGAGTCAGGGGATTTGAGACAGTGCTGTCATGGGACCTTGTCTGTGGAACAGGCGAGCTTAGGGAGTTGTTGAGGGGAGGGAGCTTTGACATGGGAGGATGCTGTGGGGTCTGGAGAGATGGCTCACCAGGAAAGAGCTCTTAACTCACACAAGCATGAGGGCCCGAGTTCAAATCCCCAGATTCCCACATTAAGTCTGGCATGTTCCTGCACATGCTTCTAATCATGGCGCCGCAAAGAGCAGAGACTGGAGGATTACTGTGGCATGGCTTGCAGGCAACTAGCCTGGCCCCAGAGAATGATAGAGTGGGTTACTCAAAGTCCTCTGGCCTCTATGGCTGTCACACACATGTGCATATTCTATACACACACACACAGACCAGAAGGAGGCACCATGACAACGGTTCAGAGAAGCCACCCAGGGTCCCACCGCTCTGCTACAAAAAACAACAAAATCCCAACCACTTTCTCTGTCCCTTCTCAGGCCTTCTGAGGCTCATCTCAGGGCCACCTACCTGCTTCCTGCACTGTAGAGCTCATGACTACTCCCCGTAAGATGCCCAGGAGTGGCCAGAGAAAGCCTGAGGTTGGGCCAGGAAGAGCCCCTTTATGGTCCAGCAGCAGACAGGCAGTAGCCGACATGAAGAAGTGACCCAAAAGGCCAGTCAGGAAGAGTCATATCATTGAGAATGCGGGGGAGGCCAGGCAGGGCCTCGCAGCGGACAGAATGTAGCCTCACAATCCTGCTCTGTTCCAAGGTTCTTAGGTTCTGAGCCTAAGGCTCTGCTCTGTATGGGGTGACACCAGCTCAAGTATTTCATCCCACTGCCAAGAGATGTGATCTAACCCATGATCCCGGACCATACAGCCGCCATGTGACGACAATCTGCCACAGGGCAGTAAACACACGGTCTAGTGTCAGACTTTTGCCTGAGGTCCCAGAAAGGTCAGAGGGAAAGGTAAGAACCGCAACCTCATCCACAAGTAGGCAGAAATAGCCCTGAGGTTTCACGAGCTCAATAAATAACAAAATAATATGTAATAATTTCCTGAGGCTGAGCAAGGTGGTGTCTATCTGTAACTACAGCACGCGGGAGGCAGAAGGAGAAAGATGTTAGACTGTAGACTAGCTGAGGCTCTATGAAGAAACTGTCGCAGAATAAATAAACATACAAACGCATACACTCACACACACTCACACGTACTATATACACGTATACTCTCACACATACACCTAACATACTACATACACATACACTCACTCAAACATATAGTCATACACACACACACTCAAACATGCACATACACTCCACATATTATACACACACATACACACACACACATATACTCACACACACACACTCACACCATACTATACACACATACACTCAAACAAACATACAGTCAACACATACACACACAAATACACACATATACTACACTCACACACACTCACACCATACTATACACACATACACTCACACACATACACTCACACATAGTCAACACATACACAAACACACTCTCACATATACTATACACACATACACTCACAACACATACACGCACACGTACATTCACGCAAACATACACTCACACACACGCATATAACTCACACACACACACACACACCTTTCCTTCTGAAGGTTTGGTAACTGTGTTTATTAAAACACAGTGAGAAAAGGCAGATTTAGAAGAAAGTGAAAGGCTAGTTTATCACTGTGCACACACCCCGGGGAACCTTCCAAATATAAAACTCAAACGAAGGGACGAGCACTGAGGATGTGTCTCGGTGACATCTTCCAAGGTTGGGGTTCCATCCCAAGCACCTTGAAAGCCTGACATAGTGGTCTACGCCTGTAACTCCAGCTTTTGGGGAAGTGAAGGCAGGAGGATCAGAAGTTCAAGGTTATCCAGGGCTGCGTTTTGAGTTAGAGGTCAGTCTGGACTGAATTAGGCCTTATCATTAAATGGGAAGTTTGAGGTCAGTCAGGATTGAATGAAACCTTTTGTTCAAAGGGAGGAGGCAGACGGTGAAGCTTAAATACTCTCTTCACAGGGAAGGGGTACTTGGGAGGAGCAATCTTTTTGTTTCTTTGTTTGTTTTTTTTGTTTCTCTTTTTTCGAGACAGGGTTTCTCTGTGTAGCCCGGGCTGTCCTGGAACTCACTCTGTAGACCAGGCCGGCCTCGAACTCAGAAATCCGCCTGCCTCTCCTCTGCCTCCCAACTGCTGGGATTAAAGGTGTGCACCACCACTGCCCGGCCTTTTTTTTTTAAGATTTATTTATTTCATATATGTGAGTACACTGTCACTATCTTCAGACACACCAGAAGAGGGCATCAGATCCCATTACAGATGGTTGTGAGCCACCATGTGTTTGTTGGGATTTGAACTCAGGACCTCTGGAAGGGCAGTCAGTGCTCTTAACCACTGAGCCATCTCTCCAGCCCAGGAGCAATCATTTTTATTGGGGGACACCATATTCAGAGAATAGACAATAGCTTGGGCAAATCTCTTGGAGTGAGGATGGCCCTCAATGGGTGAACTTTTAGCACCTCTCTGACTCTAATTTTATTATTATTTCTTCATTGACTGAGGAAATTTTAGGGGGTGCACTGGAGGCAGACCCTGAAGTCCGGATCCTTCTGTTTCACCCTTCCAAGTACACTACCATGGCTGGATTATATAAGGTGCAGTAGGTGGAAGCCACAGACTTTATGCATGAGAGCCAAGCACACTACCACTAAGCTGCGTTCTCAGGATGCCCTGGAGGTCTTTGCACCTTCACAAACATGTCTACCTTCTTCTGCGTTACAATATGTGGACCGGTCTCCAGAAGGCTCTGGCTGCACCTGCCTGCACTCACCTTGCTTTGAGGAGGTCATTGACTGTGTTAGTTACTTCTGTAGAGTTATAAACAAAATACCTGCAAGAGAACTTACAGGGAATGAGTCAGGTCAGAGATATCATCTGCATTAGCTACTTTTCTCCATGCTGTTACCAAATGGCTCACAAGAAGCAATTTAAAGACAGGGTGTTTGTTCCAGCCAAAAGTGCTAAGGTGACAGAGAAGGTCTGGAGAGCAAAGAGATGGCAGGGTCATTGCAACCACAGTAGGGGGGGGAGGGAGGAGAGAGAAGGGTGGGGAATGCTGGTCCTCACTTACTGTCTCTGTTTCATTTCAGGATCCCAGCCCACAGGATAGTGTCACCTACATCCTGCCTTGGTCTTCCTCTTTAATCTTTCTGGAAATACCCTCATAGTATCACCCAAAGGAGTGTTTCCATGGAGCTTCTAATCCCATCTAATTGAGGATCAAAGGATCAGTGAGATGGCTCAGTGAACTCACCTACTGCCAAGCCTGATGACCTGGGGTTCAATCCCTGGGACCCAGTGACGGAAAGAACCAACTCCAGAAGTTGTCCTGTGATGTCTCCACTCCCCGCAAAAAAAACTTAATATAATTGTATTTATGTAGTATTTATTTATGAATTAATTAATTTTATTTGTTTTATAAATAAAAATATTTATAAACTATAATGTTTTCCCTTCCCCTTCTCTCTCTTGCTCCAGCCTCACTCACTCTAGCCCTGCTCGCTCCAGCCCAACTATTATAAATTTATTAATATATTTTGTTTTTTCCAGGGTGTGGCTCTGGGGTGTAGCCCAGGTGACCAACCACTTGCCTACCCTGGGTTTGATCCCCGTCACTGCATAAGATGGGCAGAGAAGCACATGCTATAATCCCAGCACTGGGGAGCTGAAGGCAGGAAGATCAAAGTTCAAGGTTAGCCTTGGCTACATGAAAGTTCATAGCCTTGGCTACATAGGTTCAAGGCAAACCTAGACTCCTGAGAATATGTCTCAAAATATTTGGAGATGGTTGAACTGTGAAGTCGAGGCCAGGTTGTAGAAAGCGGATCACTGGAGATGTGTCCTGGGGCTCTACGTTGCCCTGCTCCCTGATTGCCGGCTCATCTTTCCTGTCCACTATGATGTGACCAGCCTTCTCCTCCTCCATGAGCCCCCATCACCATGATGCTCTGGCTAAGCACGTGGTACATATAATCCTTCCACCTTAAGCTGTCCCTGTCAGATAATTGGTATCCTGCTTAGTTATGTCAGTGTGACACAACCCTAGACATATTAGGGAAGAGGGAATCTTAATTAAAAATATGTTTCCAAGCCAGGCATGGTGGCGCATGCCTTTAATCCCAGCACTCAGGAGGCAGAGGCAGGCAGATCTCTTGAGTTTGAGCCCAGCCTGGTCTGCAGAGCAAGTTCAAGACAGCCAGAGCTACACAGCAAAACTCTGTCTCAAAAAACCAAAGAGAAAAAAAAAAGTGTTCATATGATTGGCCCATAGGCAGATCTGCAGGGTACTGTCTTGATTAATTATTGCTGTGGTGGGGCACTGTGGGCAGTGTCATTCCTGGACAGGTGGTTCTGGGTCTTGTAAGAAAACAGGCTGAGGGCTGGAGAGATGGCTCAGCCGTTAAGAGCACTGACTGCTCTTCCACAGGTCCTGAGTTCAATTCCCAGCAACCACAGGGTGGCTAACAACCATTTGTAATGGGATCTGATGCCCTCTTCTGGTGTGTTTGAAGACAGCAACAGCGTACTCAGAATAAATAAGAGGAAGAGGAGGAAGAGGGAGAAGAGGAAGAAGATGAAGAGGAGGAGGAGGAGGAAGAGGAAGAGGAAAGAAAGAAAGCAGGCTGAGCAAGCCGAAGGAGCAAGCCAGAGACTAGAGATCCTCCTTGACCTCTGATCCTCTCACCCTGACTTCCTTCAGTGACAGACTGTCATCTGAGAGTTCAAAGGTAAAGTACACCTCATCCTCCCCAAGTGGCTTTGATCATGGCATCTTATCAGCAGTAGAAATGCTCAGGACACTGACATACAAGGGCCGATCCTCCACACCTGAGTCAGATCTCCAAATCACTTCACCTAACCCCCATCTCAGCTGGCTCAGCAGTGTGTGGGAACCTCCCCACACCCTCAGCTCACGGGTGTGCTGACAAGGGATTAGGAGGGGGAGGATATACACGTGTATTATATGCGCAGGGGGAATACAGGAATAGGATTCCCCACAAACCGGATGGAGCTCAGGGTTTATATGTCCCCCTAGATGGGGAAAAGAGAGGAAACGGCGTTGAGTCAATGGGCCAGGAGCAAAAAGTAACTTGTAAATGATTTTCCTGAGAGTGTGTGTGTGTGCGTGATAATGGTTAGGTCTCAGGTACTGAGTAGTGCTGGGAGAACCAGCTGTCCAGGGTCCATGTAAATAGGTACCTAGTAGGCCATTTACCCCGGGTTTCTAAGACTTAACAAGTACATATGTACACCTATCATGGGGAGGCCAGCGGACAACCTCAAGTGTCACCCTCAGACAGGCTCTCTCACTGACCTGAAGTCCCATAGTTCCTCTTCTGTCCACCTGTCCAGCACTGGTATCATAAGGATACGCTACCATGCCTAACTTTTTACATCAGAACTGGGAATCCATAAAGGGTCTTCAGTTTTGTGTATACTTTACCAACTGAGCCATCTCCCCAGCCCCTGTAAATGGTTTTCTTTGGAGTCTGAATGAATCTGAGACAGGCATTATCTTGTAAGAATCTGCCTGGGCCTGGCTGCAGCCTTAAGGCCTTTCCTCTAACAGGTCACAAGACTTCAGAGAGAAGATTGTGTTTGCTTTGACAGGTAGAGCCCCAAGGCAGAGAAGAGACTGACAGAGTCCTTCCCTCACCTGCCCAGGAGAAGGCAAAAGGATCAGAAGACAAGAAGAGCTGGGGAGATCAGTGGGCGAGAGCCCCGGCCTGGCAAACATGGAGACCTGAGGTGAAATCCCTAGTGTCCACACGAACCCCAGAGGACTCCAATGCCATGGGGCATGTGATCGCTGACACTTGTTGGCTGTCAGCCTAGCTTTAACTTCAGCAGGAAACCCTTCTAAAGAGCATAGGGCACATAACAGAATTCTAAGAGATCTTACCTTCTGAGACCCAACACCAGCACTTACTGAGTGCCAAGGATCTGCAAAGGACTATGCCAAGGATAGACATGGTGATACCCGCTTGTGACCCCGGCACTTTAGGGACTGAGGCAGGAGGATATCAAGTTTGAGATCAACTTAGGTTACAGTGCTGCGAGACTCTTGTCTCCCGTGAAGTCAGGCAGTGAAGTAGCTCACGAAGCTATCCTGAGATGAACTTTCCTACAGTTTCCCTTAACAGATGATTTTTACCACCCTGGAGAAAGGGAAGTGATAGAAAGTATCAAATAGAAATTAGGGGACATTCCAGGTGTGGTGGCACACACCTTTAATCCCAGCACTTGGGAAGCTGAGGCAGGCAGATCTCCAGCAGTTCCAAGACAGTCTGATTTACATAGCAACTTCTAGTAGGGCTACACAGTGGGACCCTGTCTTAGGAAAAAGGAAGGAAGGAGGGAGGGAGGGAAAGAGGGAAGGAGGGAAAGATGGAGGAAGGAAGGGAAGGAAGGAAAAAAGAAAACATCAAAAAAAAAATAAAAGAAATTAGGAGAAATATTTTTTACTCCTAAAACATACACTTGGGGGAGAGGGGCAGGGTAGATGCTTGGTCAGAATTGTCTGCCATGCACACGTGAGGATCTGAGATTGAGCCCCTGAACTCCAGTGATGGCATGTGCTTGTAATCCCAACACTAGGGAGGGAGAGACAAGTGACTCCCTGGGGCTCCCTGACCATCCAGCTTAGCCTCTTCAGCTAGTTCCAAGCCAGTGAGAGACCCTGTCTCCAAACATAAGACAGCATTCCTGAGGAGCAGCAGCCTCAGTCGCTTCCGGCTTCCACGTGGACAGGCACATCCGTGCACCTGGAGACCACATAAATAAGCCATACGCTGGATAACAGTGGAAGGCTCCAAAGAGAGCGTATTAGTCACCTCATGCTATTCTGACAAAATGGCAAAGCAAGGGGCTCAGGCCATGCTGGGCTGCTTCTGTTCTCTAGGCCTACGGGGAAGGTGTGGCAAAGCAAAGCCACTCACTGCAGGAAAGTAGGATACTGCCAGCTCAGGCGAGGATGAGACCAGGGATGAGACACAGTCTTCAATACCGGAGGGATGGCATTCAGTGTTTATTGATCTCACAGAGGGATCTGGGTTCAGTTCCCAGCACCATTATCAGGAGGTTCACAACCACCTTTAACCGCCATCTAAAGGGAACTGCCTCCCTCTTCTGGCCTATATAGGTACTGGCATGATGTTTATTTTTTAATTTTTTTTTAAAGACTGATTTATTTTATGTACGTGAGTACACTGTAGCTGTCTTCAGACACACCAGTAGGGGGCATCGGATCCCATTTCAGATGGCTGTGAGCTACCATGTGGGTGCTGGGATTTGAACTCAGGACCTCTGGAAGAGCAGTCAGTGCTCTTAACCGCTGAGCCATGTCTGAAGCCCTTGCATGATGTTTACATGCATAGTGTATATAAAGTCATGCAAGCACACACAGGCACGATGAATCTTTTTTAAGAAGTATGGTCTTCAGCAAGGCAGTGATGGCACTGCCTCTAATACTAACACTCAGGAGGAAGAAGACAACCCGGTCTACAGAGCTGCAGGACGGCCAGGGCTATACAGAGAATTCCTGTCTCAAAAACGCCATCCCCCAAGATATACATAGACACAGACAAAACACATATACATATACATTATACTAATTATGAAACCATCAATGGCTAATTCACTGATTAGGTCAGCACCCTTCTAACCCAGTCATTTTTGCCCAGAGCCTCACTCTGAACACCGCGTTGAAGACCAAGCCTTCAACATACACAGTCAAAGCCTAACAGAAACTCGGCCATCTTATATTTAAAACACATGGGTCAGAGAGATGGCAAGTCAGCAAAGCAGTCCCCTTGATAGGAACCTGAGGATGACCCTGGACTTACGATCTCTCTGCCTCCATATCCCGAGTGCTGGAATTACAGATATGGCTCCTATATTGTGTGCTGGAGAACAAGCCTATGCATGGTAGTAAGCACTCTAGCAGTGAAGCCACGTCCCCAACTCTTTAGCCCCTAGGAGGAGACTGGGGTGGGGGAGGGTAAATCTAGCTTCCGGGACTGGACTGGAGAGATGGCTCAGCGGTTAAGAGCACTGACTGCTCTTCCAGAGGTACTAGGTTCAATTCCCAGCAACCATGTGATGGCTCACAACCATCTGTAATGAGATCTGATGCCCTCTTCTGGTGTGTCTGAAGAAAGTGACAGTGTACTCACATACATTAAATAAATAAATAAATAAATAAATATTAAAAAAAAAAAAAGGATTCCTGCACAGTTCAACAGCTGCCTAGGACAAGTGCTTTGGTGGTGACCTTCATCCTTTGGTACCAGGCAGCTGGAACAAAGGGAACAGGCAATGTCACAGCTATCTAGTTTCAGCCATCAACTTGACACAGACCTAGAGTAACCTGGCAGAGGGAACTTCAGCTGAAGAATTGCTTCCATCAGATTGGCTTGTAGCCTTAACCTATAGGGTATTTT